TGTAGTTCAGGTTGGCCTTGAACTCACTATATAGCCCAGACTAGTCTCAAATTGGCAGAGACCCTCCTGCCTCAACCTGCTGAGTGCTAGGATTATAGACATGGGCCACCATGCCTGGTATGATGGAAACTGCTGTAAAAACTAAAAGTAGAAGGTTGGGCATTTAGCTTAGCTTCATAAACTCTTGCCTGGCAAGTGCAAGGTTGTGAGTTTGATCTCCAGTACCACACACACACACACACACACACACACACACACACACTCTACTAAAATTCCATCTGACCCAGCTTTTTCCCTTCTAGGTATCTTCCTGAGAGTGGATGACATCATGTTACGGTGATACACACATACCCATGTTTATAGCATCTTAACTCACAATAATTAAATCTTAGAAGCAGATGGAGGGAGAAAAGCAGGAAGTGGGGGGATGAAAATAAAGAATTAAAATGTGAAGCCACCAGGTGTGGTGGTGCACTCAGGAGGCTGAGGGAGGCAGATCATTAAAGGTTCAAGACCAGCCTGGGCTAAAAAGTGAACCCAAGGCCAGCCTGAACCTAACAGTGAGACCCTGTCTCAAAAAAGACAAAAAAAAAAAACAAACCAGAATTAAGATGTGTTATGCACATATGCCCACTCCCTATAATGAAAGTAATCATTATATATGGCAACCATGTGCTAATAAAAATCTGAAAAATTTTTAGACTTTGAGACAGGGTATCCTTTAATTGCTAAATTGCCCAGGCTGGGCTGGAACTTGCTATCAGCCTCTCAGAGTGTTGGGATTACAGGCATGTGCCACAACATTCGGCTGGCTTTGCTTTGACATAGGGTCTTACTATGTAGCACAGGCTAGCCTCCTGTTTTTTCTTCTTCACCCTCCTCAGTGCTGAAATTAGAGTCATACACCACAATGCCTGACTAAAAAACATAATAGGCTTCCTAAGATATCATTTATATGCCAATTCATCCATCAGTACAAATCAATGATTTCAATATATTGTACTAACAAAGTTGTGCAAGCATTGCCACGCGTTTTTTTTTGTTTTGTTTTTTGTTTTTTGGTTTTTTGTTTTGTTTATTGTTTTTTAGACAGGGTCTCATTATGCAGTTCAGGCTGGCCTTGACCTTTCTATGTAGCCCAGGCTGGCCTCGAATTCATGGTGATCCTCTGGAGCGCTGGGATTACAGGCTTATACCACCACACCTCGATACATGTTCATTTTCAGAAAATTTTTATCACTCCCAAAAGAAACTCTATAGCCACTTGGTATCTTACCCAATCCCTTCTCCCTTCATACTCTGGCCTCCACTAATCTTATTGTCCCATGGATTTTCCAGTCCTGGATATTTCATACCCACAGAATCATTCAGTGGGTGGTCTTTTGTGACTCAATTCTTTCCCTAGCTTAATATTTTCAAGGTTCATTTATATTGTAATATTTGTCAGTACTTGTCTTAGTTTACATTTCTCAGGACTGAGTCACAATACCTGACACCCACAAATTAAAGCAAAGGTTTATTTTGGCTCACCTTTTAATTCGTAGTGCGTTCAGCTCCAAGGCAGGAGGGCCCGGCAGAGAGGCGCAGCGGAGCAGAGTTGCTCGCTTGGAGGCAACCCTGAAGCACACAGGTTGAAGGGAGGAGTCCGGAGGGAGATGATCCCTTCCAAATTATGAACCTCAGTGACCTACCTCTTTTGGTCAGACCCCACCTCCTAAAGAGCGCCTGCCTAAGGAGGGCGAAGCTTTAGAAGGACAACCAGATTAAAAAAAATGTAGCAGTACGCCAATTGTCTTCTGTGGGTTAATAGTATTCCATTGTATGGTATGGACAAAAAGGAGGCCATTGAAATAATCCAAAGAGATCATGAGAATTCAGGCCTGGTGGCGCACTGCTAATAAGCCCGGCATTTGGGAGACAGAAGATCGCCACGAGTTCGAGGCCAACCTGGGCTACACAGCGAGACCTTGTCTCAAAACAAAAACAAAACAAAACACAAAACCACAAAACAATAGTGATAGTTTGATTTCTGGGTGAAGATTGTGAGTAGTGCTTCAATTTTTTAATATCTATTTTCAAGAGTCAATTACATTTGCTGGCTATGATTTGAATTCCCCCAAGATTTTGGAACTGAATTGTTATCAACTGAAGACTAGGTAAACTAGGTTTAGGGATATGGAAGGCAGTATGAGAACAGACTAGAAATATGATTTTGGACATGTACTTTGAGATATCTTACAGATATTCAATCAAAGTCAAGTAGGCAGTTGGATATAACACTTTGGAGTGTAAAGATCTTGAGGTTAGAGATACAGATATGATTCAAAATTCAATTGTGGGCCAAAATGAAAACAAACAAAGGTGGGGTGTGTGGGAGATAGGAAACAATCAGTGAAGAATCAACCAGGGAGACAAAGGAAACCCAAAAGAGTACAATTAAAGGAAGGATTGGGCCAGAGATTTAGCCCAGGGGCATAGTCGCCTGCCTGGCAAGCCCCGAGTTCCAGGAGAGTTCAATCCCCAGTACCAAAGGGGGAAAAAAAAAGGAAGTGTTCGCAGGAAAGAGCCATCACCTGTGTAAAGTGTTGCAAATAGAGGAAGATTAGCACTGAGAACTGACCATTGAAGTTAACAATGTGGAATTTAAAAACTTTCAAAAGAGGAGTTTTGGTAGAGTCCTTGAGCGGGGAGTCACAAGTTCCAGACTAGTTTGTTCAATTTAGGGACTTAGCAAGAGCCTGTCTCAAAATAAAAAAGATAATTTTAAAAAGGTTGGGGCTCAGTGCAAAGACTTTGATTGTGATCCCTACTACCATAAAAAACCCAACCAACCAAACAGTAACAACAAAAACTCAAAACAAAAGAGGCATGTTTAGGAGGTGATTGAGTCATGAGGTTTGTTGTGTCATAACTTTATAAAAGAGCTTGGTGGAGAAACTTTTTCCCCTTTCACCCTTTTGTCTCTTCTGCCATTTGAGGGCATGTAATGCTGCGTAAATCAGTGCACAAAATACCTGGCATCCAAATCTTAAAGAAGTTTATTTTATTTTTTAAAACAGGATCTCTCCATATGGTTCAGGCTAGTCTTGATCTCGCTTATGTAGCCTAAAGTTGCATTAAAATAATAGTGACCTTCCTGCTTCAGCCTCCTGAGTGCTAGGATTACAGGCATGTACCACCACAGTTGGCCCGGGAGAGAAATTTACTTTTTTCATTATTAAAAATAAAGGACAGAGCTGGGTGTGGTGGCTCACGACTGTAATCCCAGCACTCGAGAGGCTGAGGCAGGGGGATCATTATGAGTTCAAGATCAGCCTGGGCTACAAACTGAGCTTAAGGCCAGCCTGGATTGCATAGCAAGACCCTGTCTCAAAAAGACAAAAAAAAAAAAAAAAAAAAAAAGGACAGAATGAAACCAAAAATGAATAGAAGGAAATAATAAAAATCAGAAACATAATCCCTCATCAAACCGGCAACATCATTTTTCATATAAAGAGAAGCTTATTTTGACTCATCAATCTATGGTCTGCTGGCTCCAAGGCAGAAACTGCATGGTAAAAAGCCTGGTGGAGAAAAACTATTCACAGGATGACAGCCAGGACACACACAGAGAGAAAGAAGGAAGGCGCTGGGGAGAAGAAAACACCTTACCAGATTACCTCATAGCCTCCCAGAGGGCTTTGCATCACACTTTGAGAATGACTGATCCATAAGACCAGCAGAGAAGACAGAATACGGGAATAGATGCTGGCATAAGTGGGTAGATGAAATGATGGAAGTCTTTGGATGATGTTGGTGCTTAGAAGAGGTAACCAGTCAGCTAGAGAAGAGTGAATGATCTAAGCAACATTGTCCAACACTTAGCCACCAATCACATGGGACTACTGAGCCTTTGAAATGTGGCTAATATGAGTAAAAGACCTGATTTCAAAATTTCACTCAATTATATAAAATATTTAAACATAAGTAACCATATATGCTAGTTGTTATGATGTTGAATAGTACGGATTATAGAACATTTCCTTCATTACAGAAAGTCATACTGGACAGCACTAATCTGGATTAATACAATATACTATGTATATACAATATACTACGATTGCCAGGAAGCATTAAGTGACTACTTAAACGTAGCATTCATGAACTTAAAATGAAGATGGTCAGCATGGTTCTATGCTTTTTTCTCACATTCAGTGCAGAGCAGACAGGTGCTATGGTTTATATATGACTTAGTCCATTTTCTGTTGTTATGACTGAATACCACAAACTGGGTATTTTATTTTATTTTATTTTATTTATTTTGGTGGAGGGGGCAGAACTGGGGATTGAACCCAGGGCCTCACACATGCTAAGCAAATACTCTACCACTGACCTATGTACTCCACCCCAGACTGAGTAATTTATAAAGTGGTTTATCTAGCTCATGCAAGTCCAGAAGCATCTGCTTGGCATCTGGTGAGACACTTCCTGCTGGGCAATAATGCGTCAGAGGGTGTCACATGGTGCGACACAGCAAGCTTGGTAACCCAGGTCTCTCTTCCTCCTCTCATAGTCACGGGAAGGCTCCACTCTCATAACCTCATCTAATTCTAATTTTGATTGAAAGGCCCCACATTCAAAGTCTACCATCATATATGACTGTGGGGAATTTCTAGTACATAAAATTTGGAGGACACATTTATTTATTTAAAAGTTTTTTGTGGTTGAAGGAGAACACATTTAAACCATAACAGGGTGTGCCCTCTAAAATTCATGTGTTGGAAACTTAATCTCCAAAGTCATATGTTGATGGTATGTGGAGGTGTGGCCTTCTGGGGAGGCTATTAGGATTAGATAAGGTCATCAGGGAGAAGCACCCCATGTGGCATTAGTAGCTTTATAGGAGGAGGCAGAGAGACCCAAATTAGCAAGCTTGTTCTGAGTCATCATGTGATGCCTCCTGCCATGTCATGACACGGCAGGGAGGCCCTCATCAGATGTCAGCAACAGGGAGCCAGCCTCAGAGTTGATACTGGAGTTCCCAGCTTTTCGAATTGCAAGCCAGATAAGCTCTTAGTCATTATAAGTTACCTGAGCTCAGGTTTTGTTACATTTACAGAAAATGGATGAAGACAGCAAGACGGGATTCATCAGAGGTCGGGGTTTTGCTAAGTGAGTATATGAAAGTGAAGGGAGGAAAGGGAATTGAGGCTGCATGGAATAGAGTGTTTATGATGACTGACCAGGGAAGGCAAGCAGACTTAAGGGGGAAGTGAGGAGGTGAGAGGGGGGCACAGGGAGCTGTTGGTAATGTCAGTGGATTGGATTTGAGTAGGAGACGGGGGATTGTTGAAGTCAACATACTTCAGGGAGTGAGCAATAAAGAAAAGAGGGGTGGGCCAGGGATTTAGCTCAGTGTCACAAGCACCTGCCTGGTAAGCATGAAGTTGTGAGTTCCATCCCTGGTACAAAAAAAAAGAAAAAGACCCCCGGTGCCACAAAAAAGAAATAAAGAAAAGTAAAGAGGTGCTTGTTTGAGTGGAAATACATAAACTGGGTATGGTGGTGTGCCCCTATCATCCTAGCTAGTAAGGAAGTAGAATCATTTAAATCTGGGAGTTTGAAGTCAAACTGGGAAACCTAGTGAGGTATTGACTCAAAAACAAAACAAAATAAAAACCAGAAACAACCCTGCAAACCCAACCCTACAAAACTAAACAACAATGACAGAATGGGACACATAAGATTATAACCGTTTTCAGATCCTGCTAAAATCAGTCTAGAGGATGACCATGGAAAGAGAGCAGCTGAGATAAGGTAAAGGGTAAGCAAGGTCACTAGCAGAATGGACTTTAAGAACTGAGAGTGACCAGGAATTTAGCTCAGTGGCACAGCCCCTGCCTGGCAAGAACAAGGTCCTGACTTCAACTTTCAGTATCGAAAAACAAAACAAAACAACCCAAAAAACAAACAAACAAAAAGAACTGAGAGAAAAGGAAATTGAGTGGATCGAGTATATGTGTGTGTGTGTGTGTGTGTGTGTGTGTGTGTATACTCAGTATTTATGGTAGAATTAATGTTGGGCGACAGTATCCTAGAGTTATACTTGAGCAAAGAAGGGGAGTAATGTACAAGTCAGTAGATGACAGCAACAGTGAGTGGGCCATGGGAGGAAAATATTTATTGGCACTCAAAGCAAGGGAGTTTGAGGGAGAAGAATGGTCAGAAGTGTTAATAAGGAACAAGGAGGACATGGACCTAATCCTGTGGGACAGTAACCAGCCATCATTTGAAGGGTATGGGGGAAACAGTGACTTCAGGGAAGATCCCAGTTTCTTTTAGAATAAGATGAAGGAAGCACACAGAAAGGAGGCTGAGAATATAGGAAGTTTGTCTAATGATGAAAATGAGTTCCAGAAGATATGGTGGGAAGACTTCAGTAGTTGAGGAAGCATGGAGATGGGTACAGGATGACTTCCTAACTGGATAATCTTGGGCCAAGTTACTTAGCCTCCTTTTCCTTCAGTTTCTTCATGCCTAAAAATGGAAAAATTACTTGGTATGCAGTTTATTAGCCACTCCAATGGAGTGAAAGAACTTTCAGCAGTGCTTGGCTGAGGGTAATAAATGTTAGGCATTATTATTATCTTTTTTGTTGGTTTGGTTTGGGTTTTTTTGGTACAGGGGATCAACCTCACAACCTTGCACTTGCCAGGCAGGTGCTTATGCCACTGAGCTAAATCCCTGATCCTAGATATTATTATTGTCATTATATTTCTGGGTCATTTGAATGCTCTATAATGTGGAAATATTTGTGCATTTCTTTTGAGAAAACTGAGAGGACAGAGCCGGATGTGGTGTTGCATGGTTGTAATCCCAGCACTCAGGAGGCTGAGGCAGGAGAATCATTGGAGTTTAAGACCAGCTTGGGCTACAAAGTGAGTTCAAGGCCAGGCTCAATTGCATAACAAGACTGTCTCAAAAAGACAAAGGGAGAGAGAGAGAGAGAGAGAGACAGAGAGACAGAGAGACAGAGAGACAGAGACAGAAAGAGAGACAGAGAGAGAGAGACAGAGAGACACAGAGAGAGAGTAATTTGATTAAAGTTAATGAAAAGACCCATCCATGGCTGGGATCAATGTTGCAGGTAACGGAATTATAGCTTGGAAGAGGGCTATCTTTTTAATAGTGGGAAAGAATGGCACAGATACAGTGCTAGTATGGTAGTTAGGAAGTAATGTCCAATCTGGAGACTTCTATCTTATCTTTAGAGTGTAAGTTATTTAGAGTTGTCTAGGAGCTGGAATTTTGAGAATGGAGAAGCTTAGACAGTATCACTGGGATGAATAAATGAGGGAGTTAAAATCGTGACAGGAATCCCCAAATGAATTTAAGGTCCACTTGAGGTCGGTAATCATGAATTCAGAGTGGTACTAGTCTGTTTAGCTGAGTGATTTTTTTCTTACAGTGCTTAGTAACTCTAAGGATGAGGGAAGAAAGACTGTCAATCACATGCTAGTCTTTGATGAATGAGTAGACAGTGGAGAGGTGAAATCAAGGTGTGGCCAAATGTGAAACTCAGAAGAAGAAGGATGGGGGTATACATGAGAGTGGAGGAAGAGTTGCCTGCAAGTTGCATTTTGGCTGGAAGAAGACACATAACTCACTCTTCACAGCACTGTGAGTGGTGGGTTGGTATAATCTATTTTCAATAGAAAGGGCTGTAAGGGATGCTGCAGCCTTGTGAGGAAATCAGGGCAAATTCCCCATGATGAATAATGTGATCATTATGTACTGCACACATGGGCTAATAAAAAACAGTGAGTGGCTATCCAAGGATGAATTTCAGGGTAGTCAGAGTTTATTAATCATCAAATGGTGTTCCAGGAGGCATAGCCGAGTCCCTAGAAGTAGAGGTACAAGTGGGAATGTCCAGGGAGAAGAAGCACAGAGTAATATGGGAATGTGGCTAGAGGAGGAGGAAGAAGGAAAAAAGAGGAGGGAGAGGGTAGCAGGGGAGGGGAAAAAGAAGAACAACAATATCTTAACTAATACAGTACTGTAAGAGTGGTTTGTATGGATTATCTTGTTTAGTCCTCATAACAACCCCATGAAGTAGAACCTTAATTTTACAGATGAGCAGACCTGAGGTTTAAGTAACTTACCCATGGTCAAATAGTCAAACTATGTGCTTCCATATGTGACAATAACAGAGGAAAGTACACATGTGAGTGAGCTATAGGGTGTGTGGCACATAGCAAGTTTAGATGGTTAGTGTTGAAAGTCCTGATAAATAAGGGGCTCCCTCCTCCCCAAATTTAGCACTGTTCGAGGACTGTAAGTGGGGGCTCAGTTTTGTTGACATTCCTTATACTGCTGCTAGGCACAGGAGGATCCAGGCAACTGGAAGAGCCAGTGCACTCTCTCACCTGTGCTCTGCAGAGTGATCCATGGTGGTAGTGGAGAACTGGTGTGATTCATAGGTTTGTTTTGTTCTAATAAGGGGATATAAAGCCTGGCTGTAGCTTCCTCTAAAGTGTAAGGCTGAGAGGCAGTTTGCAGGAAATGTGAGCCTACCGGAAAACTTCACAGGCTGTAGATCCTAGGAGATGTGAGGCCCAGCAGGGGTCTGGCAGTGGTCCAATTTTTTTTCTTGACATGAAAGCAGCTTCTCTGGTGTTCAAAGCTGTGGCCTAGCTCCTAAAAAAGGACACTCTAAATGTATTGGGTGCCATGCCTAGTGCTTAAGAAGTTTATGAAAAAGAAAAGAGCACCTTTCTGTAAACTTCCCTGGAAGGTATTTTAGAGCCTTGTATTAAAACGAGCCTATAAACCAGGCATGCTGGTGAATGCCTATAATCCCAGCAGTTGGGAGGCTGAGTCAGGAGGATTGTTCCAAATTCGAGACTGACTGGGACTACAAAGTGAGCTCAAGGCTAGCCTGAACTGCAGAGTGAGACCCTGTCTCTCAAACACAGAGAACAAACAAATAAAAGAACCAAATAAACAATGAACCCATAAATCAGGCATGGTGGTACACATCTGTAATCCCAGCACTCGGGAAGCTGAGGCAGGAGGATTGCTGTGAGTTTGAAGCCAGCCTGGGCTACAAAGTGAGTTCAAGGCCAGTCTGAACCACATAGTGAAACTCTGTCTAAAAAAAAAAAAAAAAAGAACCTATAAAAACACTTTCAGAATCCCAAGCTGACAAACAGAATTGTTAAACATTAAATGTTTATTATAGCCAGGTTATTTATTTCAGTTAAATGTTTGGTGGATGTGAGATTTCTGTGTCCTGTGCTACATGTGTATTCAAGACCATCATGAAATAGGCTGCCCAGAACATTATGCACAAATTATAGGACAGAGAGCATGTATGTCTAAAACAAGAGTCCTTTATAAATATTTATTACACAAATAAATGAAGTTCATTTTAAATTTTTGAGGAAGTTTATTTTCAGGTATTCGTTTTATGACATAAAGGTTTTTTTTCAGGTATTCATTTTATGACATAAAGGGTTTTTTTTTTAATAGTAATGATGTATTTGAAAGCAAATTCTTTCTTAGGAGCAAACCCTCAAACATAACCTTGGGTAAACAGAATTGATTTCGTAAGGATAGCATTTACAACTCAGTATCAGGTAGGCGTGCTGGCACAGGCCTATAATTCTAGCACTCTGGGAGACTGAGGCAGGAAGATCACCACAAGTTTGAGGCTAGCCTGGACTACAAAGTAAGTTCAAGGTTGGCCAGAACTGCATAGTGAAATCCTGTCCAAGATTTCTTATAATTTAGAGTATGTATAATTTTGTTTGAATTTTGGCGAATTCAACTCAGGGATTGGCACATACTAGGCAAACATCAGTGAGTTACAACCCTAGATATGTATGATTTTTATAGAATTAAAAGGCTTTGCTTTTAGCACTACACATTTTCAGCATACTTTTGAGTAAATCTAAAATTAGTAGGCTTGTCAAATTAAAATTTTAAGAAATTAGGAAGTCCATCCAGCTGGGTGTGGTGGTGTATGCCTGCAATCCCAGCATTTGGGAGGCTGAGGCAGGAGGATTGCTGTGAGTTCAAGGCTAATTTAGGCTATATAAGTGAGTCTAAGGCTAGCCTGAACCATATATAGTGATACCTTGTTTCAAAAAATGAAATGAAATAAAAGTCCATCCAGGTTTTATTAATTTCTGGGTCTATAATATTAATTTTTATTTACTAGTGAACTATATATTTATTATGCATCATATTACCATATACAAACAGTCCCAAAATTACGACAGTTCAACTTCAGAATTTTTTGACTTTATAGTATGAAAACAATGCACATTCAGTATAAATTATACTTTAAATTTTGATTTTTCCTCCAGGCTAGTGATATTTGGTATAGTGTTCCCTCACTAACCTGGGCTGTGGCAGCAGTGAGCTGTAGCTTCATCAGCCATAGGATCATGAGAGGAAACAACTGATACTCCACTATGCTCTCGGTTGCTAAGCTATGATGTTAGGTGTATTGAATGCACTTTCAATTTAATATTTGCAATTTATGGAGGGTTTATGGTTATAATCCCATTGCAGGCTGTGTAAGATTTAATGAAAATTATCTATTTTTGGTCAACTCAAAGTACTTAATAATAGCTATTTATTGCCATTATAATGTATGTGTTGTTAAATGGCCGGATCCCAGAGAGATGAAAGAGTTGCCAGGAAAGCAAGGATGTTTGGCAAGAAGCATAACAGCTTGGGGTCTATGCATCATTTTTTTGTGCTTTCAGTTTTGCATGTTCATAAATTCAGTCTTCTAAATGTCCCAGAGGTGACTGATGCTGGGCATGTGGATTCATGCTAAGGATGCTCACATGAGACCAATAATATAAATGAGGATGCTGATTTATTTATTTATTTGACAAGGTCTCACTGTGTAGTGCAGGATAGCCTTGAGTTCATTATGCAGCCCAGGCTGGTCTCGAACTCATGGTGATTCTCCTGCCTCATCTTCCAACTCCACCATATTCAATACCAGTGTATTAATTTATGAAGACAAACATTATTTTTTACACCAATTTGATGTGAAAATAGTAAATTCTTTCTCTGAGGTGAGATCTTTGTAGGAAGCAAAATTATAATCTGAAAATTACATGCCTCATGTGGTGACGCACATCTGTAAGTACAGCGCTCAGGAGGCTGAGGCAGGAGGATCACTGTGAATTCCAGGCAACCCTGGGTTACACAGTGAGTCCAAGATCAGCCTAAACTACAGTGAGATCATGTCTCAAAAAAAAAAAAAAAGATTATTGACACCATAGAATCAAAACAAGGTAAAATAGTTGGAACAATGTAAATGTATACTACCATTTGTTAAGATTGCTCTAATGCAGGGTGCAGTGGTGCAAGCCTGTAATCTCAGCACTTGGGAGGCTGAGGCAGGAAGACCGCTGAGTCTGAGGCCAGCCTGGCTACAAAGTGAATTCAAGGCCACTCCAAAACCATATAGGGAAGCCCTGCTACAAAAAAAAGAAACAAACAAACAGAAAAAAGATTGCTCTAATGGTCTCTATGCCCCTAATATAGAGTATCTGCTTTCTTTTTTTTTTTTTTTTTGTCTTTTTCCTTTTTACTGCCCGCTTGCAAGGCAGGCGCTTATGCTGCTGAGCTAAATCCCCAGCCCCTAGTATCTGCTTTCTGAAAAGATGTATTTTTTTTTACTACCCAATGCTTGTCACCTCTTTAGTGCCTGTTCAGGCTTTAAATTTTTTCTGTGCTTCCTTTGCTGATCAACATCCTCCCTCCTTTTTCCAGAGCTTTTCCACTGAGCTATCCTCAACTCTTTAAAAATTTTTTGAGACTGGTCTTGCTAAGTGGCTAAATTGTTCAGGCTGGGCTCAAAAGCTGTGCACCACTACTCCTGGCTTGATTGGCATATTAATTTTATACTAGCCCTCTTTTTAGTTTTTTTTAAAGGCAGGGTCTCACTATGTAGTTCAGACTGGCCTTGAACTTGAGGCAATCTTCCTGTCTCAGCTTCCTGAGTGCTGGGATTATTGCTCTGTCCCTCTTCTTAAAAATTAAATGAATATCTCAGGTCTGGTAGTACATGCCTGTAATCTCAGCACACCGGGACATTGAAGCAGCTGTATGCAAGTGTGAGTCCAGCTAGAAATTGTAGCGAGGCTCTGTCTCCAAAAAATAAAATAAAAATTAAAAATTTTTTTAAAGATCTGGGGATATATATTAGTGTGAAAAATTTACATAAGTAAAACGTGTTTCTTCAGCTGTTATCCTTTCAGAGTATGTTAGAAAGTTAGAGGACACTTTTAGCTTTCAAGGGAATTACTTCTGATTTATAGGTCAACTTATAAGTACCAGGGCAGGCAGAGGACTGCAACTAGTGATTTTTACTTATTAATTCTATGGGGGCACCAGTTAACAAAGAGGATACTCAATTAAATTTAGATAGCGACTATATATTTTTGGTGAAATATGCCTAAAATATTGATAAGGTATATTAACACTACAAATGTATTAAACAGTTTATGTGAAATTCAGTTTTAACTGGAGTCTTGTATTTTCACTTTTGCTAAAACTGAAAACCTTACCAGTACACTTTAACATGAAGCTATGAGGATTGCCTGGGTTCATGCTGGTCGGTAATCAGCAATCTATTCGGTTGCCTAGACAGGACACAAAAACATTCTCACCCCACAATTTAGATAAACAAGTAGCATCTAAGCATGGAATAATCTTGACCCTTTGAGGAATCCGTAACTGACGTAACTACCATACCCACTGCTACGATTGATTCCCCACTTCCTCCATTCTTCTCTTTCTGCAACTAGATAGAATTGCACTATCACTTCTTCCTTTTCAAGTCCCGCCTTTCAGGCGGCCCCCAATGGAGAGAAATCTGTCACCCCAAAGGAACCGGCAAAAACGCCTACGTGGAGTTTACAGGAGCGGAAGTAGTCAGATTTCACTCCGAGCCGTAAAGCGCGGCCGGTGTTCTCACCTTCCGGATTACGACAACAGCTCAGACTGTCAGTGCCGGCCTTCCTCGTGTAAGGGGGATCTGCCGGACCTTTGCTAATTCAATTTCTTTCCCATTCCGGGCCCTTCCCTATCGTCGCCCCCTTCACCTTGGATCATGTTCAAGAAGTAAGGACATTGCTGTGGACTCCACGGCTGCTCACAAAGGCGGTGGGGATGAGGGTGGGGAAGAGGGCGAGAGCAACGATCCTCTTTCTCTCTCCCCCGCCCCTGCCATCCTGACTCCCTAAGGTTTTCTATAGTACTGTGCTGTCACTTGCAACTTGCAACACTTCTTTAAGCTTTCCATCCGTAATCCTCGATCGGATTTTGGTCCCTCTACTTCCATTTTTCCGTCTCCTTACCTCTTTTCTTTTGCCCCCTCCCGCAATTCTTTTTTCACTCCTAGGGTTCTACCAATCACATCCTTGCTGTGTGATTTAGGGGCATATCCTCTTGAGCTGAGAGGAGAGCCCTGCACTCGCTGCCATATGTTTATTAGTTATGAACTGAATAAGGGAAGGCTTGACTTCCTGGGTCATGGGAGTGAAGGAGTCTGGGTGACAGGAAGCAAGCGGCCTGTCATGCCTATTGCCTAGTAGCCAGGTTAACCTTGTCTCGAAAATAACGCGATTACCCCGTAGGCTATTCATTGTAAGGAAGACAAAATTCTCTGGGATCCTACATAGTGGGTTTGCCTTCCAGATTTGGTAGACGCAAAAAGCAAAGGGGAAAGGAACATGGGCAAAGGAAGGTGGGTTTTGTGCATGAATTTTTGAACAAAAATATATAGGTATCTTAGAAATCTACATCATCATCATCACATTTTAAAACAGACTCGGCAGGTTAGATAGCCTAACGGGCCAGTTTTTTTGTTGTGCTTGGATTGGTCCTTTTGATGCATGAAGATTTTTTTTTTCAAAAACACATTATTGGTGGAAGTCTCTTTCTTTGAGTAAGATTCTTTGGGAAAGGCATTTTCTGGTTCATTACAGATAATAATGCAAACTGTTTCTCATCCCTCCTCCAGTTTTTTTTTTTTTTTTTTTTTTGTGTGTGTGTGTGTGGTTCTGGGATCGTATTTTAATATGGTATTAAAATGTTTGTTCTGTACCTACCAGAATAAAAGGGAATTGGTACTTTAAAAAACATTTATTTCATAATTATTTTATAAGCATCTAAGTACTTACTTGGGAACGGATGATTAACCAGAACATTATCCTTCAGGTACTCTGATACTTCTGTTTAGCAATGCCTTTTTTTTTCTTGCAAAATCACTTGGCAGATTTGATGAAAAAGAAAATGTGTCCAACTGCATCCAGTTGAAAACCTCAGTTATTAAGGGTATTAAGAATCAATTGATAGAGCAATTTCCAGGTATTGAACCATGGCTTAATCAAATCATGCCTAAGAAAGATCCTGTCAAAATAGTCCGATGGTAAGTCTTTGTTTTTTCTCTATGTAATGCTTCGAGTAGCTGAATAGTAAATGATTAGGTTGTGCTCATTTCAGATATGTAGAATTATTTTTGCATTAACTATTTATAGATTAATGATAAATATTTTTATACCCATGAAAAATGTAGCTGTAGATATTGATTATGATAGAGTTAAAAGAGTTTTTTTAATTTTTTCTGCTGAAGTTAATTGTTTTCATTTGAAGTTGTATTTATTTCAGTTCTATATGGAATTACTTAATAATGGAATTAAAGTGGTAAAAATGTGAAATAAAATTGGTTGTAGCAGGTCATGTTTTTCCTTTTTCTTTACTTGACTGATATGATTGGAAAACCAATGTAAACAATGTTTTTGGCGAGGATCTTTTCTGAAATTTGAAAAATTACTATCCTGGGCCAGGGATATAGTTCAATTACACAGCACCTGCCTGGCAAGCGTGAGATCATGAGTTCAATTCCTGGTACCAAAAAAAAAAAAAAAAAAAAAAAAAAAAAAAACCACCAGAATCTCAAAAAATTACTATCCTTGTGTATGCATGTTTCATGTTGTAAATTTTAAAGGATGTTTCATTTACATTTATTTTTGAAAGAAAATTTCTAACTTGGTACTTTTGTGAAATTTGTCTTACAGCCATGAACATATAGAAATCCTTACAGTAAATGGAGAATTACTATTTTTTAGACAAAGAGAAGGGCCTTTTTATCCAACTCTAAGGTTACTTCACAAATGTAAGTCTTGTTAGAAATGTGCATTTGAGAGTACAGAAAGACAAAAGGAGTTGAAAGTGACTTCTGACAACTAATTTGTTATTTATTAGTATTAGGTAGTAAATATTAGTCAATGCCCATTTTGTGGTAAGTTTAAAAATGCAAATCATCTCATAACCCAAGAAAAAAAATTCACTCAACAAATATTTATTGGACTTGCTATGTGTCAGGCACTGAGCTAGGTACAGAGATATAACTGTAAGGAAAGACAGATATGCTCCCTGTGCTTATGAAGCTACTAGTCTAGTTTGGAAAATAGACAAGAATTAGTTCATTATATGATATGTATTCATAAACTGTGATAGGGGCTGTGCACATTTTCATCATTTAAATCTGTATCTAGATATGCCCAGTGAAGATAATTCTATGAATAGGAAAGCATTGGCTTAATTCGAGAATCTCACTTATCACTAGTTGAGTGTCATGGTCAGATGTTATAAAAACAAATAATATTTATTTCATACCCACATTTGCAGGTTATTAGACTACATATATTAGAAAAGAAAATCCAAGGAAGCTATAATTCGAGTGCACAAGACATTTTCAAATGGGAAATAAAATTTTTGCTTTTCAGTCTGTATTCTAGCCAAAAGACAGAAGAGGAAAGGAGGTGTCTATTGGTGGTGGTGATGGTAGTGGTGACTGAATGAATTTGGCTTTATTTTGTCTTTTGAGACAGGGTCTCACTATGTAGTTCAGGCTGGCCTTGGGCTGGATTTGTAGCCCAGGCTGTTCTTGAATTTGCAAACAATTCTCCTGCCTCAGGCTCCCAAGTGCTGGGATTGCAGGAGTGCACCACCACGCCCAGCTATGAATTTGGCCTTTTGCTAAGAGGAAATAAATTGTGAATTATGGTCAGGAGCAGTAAACCTCTAAGGCAAGTCTTTGAAGAGGTGAAACATTTTAATATTTACCAAGGGAATAATTACATGCATTTGATTAAATATTGATTTTTATCAGGTTAAAATACTGAAAGAAATTGAATCGATACAATAGCAAAAAGGTTTTATAAAAGAAGTTTCTTAGGACTATTTAGGAAATTCAAATGTTATTTTGGCTATGAAATGTTATTGTAGCGATTTTGTTAAATTATTAGGCATGATGTTATTATTGTGGTTTTAGGAGAATGGTTTTATTGTTGGAAGAGATTTGCTTATTTATGGTGAAGCATTATGTCTGAACTTACTTTAAAATGCCAGATGAAAAAAGTGTATGTCTATAAATAGAGATTGAAATAAGAGAATTTTAAGTTTGGGGCCAGCCTTGGCTATAGTGAGATGCTGTCTGAACAAATAGGGGGAGGGAAGGAGGGAAGGACGGGGAGAAAGAGAGGTGCAAAGGGCTAATGAACAATTATTACATTTAGGTAGATATGTGGATATTTCCTGGATGTTGAATGAACTGTTCTTCCAGCTTTTCTATAAGTTGAGCATTGTCATGATAAATTTTGGGGAAAGAATCATTGTGTTTAATGATACTTTGTCAGGGATTGACCCTTTAGAACATTTTAGCTATTGTAATGCAAAAAGCAAGATAATGTGATTTAAAACATGAACTTGGTTTTAGGCAGACCTATATTCAATTCTTAGTGCATGTCATTTTTGGCCAATTACTTAACCTCTTTAAACTCTGCTTTTTTATCTTTAAAATATGAACACTATAGTTGTGTATCTCCTCAGGGTTGTGAAGATTAAATGATATAGTGCACGTAATGTACTTAACACAATGCCTGGACATAGGAGGTATTCAGTATATGGCAGCCTTGATAATGATGTAATAATTGTTCAGTCAGTGTTCACTGCTACTTAAAATCATCATAATTATGATCACAATCATCATCAAGAGGCAGATACTAATGCGGATGAAGACCCAGAAAAAAAATTATGCCTTATGAATAGTAGATGCATTCCTTTAGGTTCCTTTTCTTGGTAAATTGTTTAATTTGGAGCTCTTTGAAGAATTTGTGGTCTTTTGACTTACCTTTCTACTAGTAAGAGGACTAGTGGTAAGGCATTAAAAAAGTAAATATTTTACTTGTTATTATCATTGTAGAGATTCTTTGAAAAGCTTAAAAGGTTTTTTCCCTTAGTCATTGTTTGAAATCCTTCTTTAGTTGTTTGATTATAAATTATTAGTAGACACAAGCATGCATTTTAAAAAAGATTACAAAAGGAATATATGCACATTTTGAAAACAAATATATAGCTAATTAATAAGAATTAATTATTGTTAATGTATTGATGTACTTACATCCAAATATTTCCTGTGTGATGCGTGTAAACACCTTTTTTTCCCCCAGTGCTAGGGACTGAATCCAGGGCCTTCATACTGAGCTACATCCCCAGACATTTTTATTTTGAGACAGAGTTTGCTAAGTTGCTCAGGTGGGACTTGCACTTGTAGTCCTTTTGCCTCAGCCTCTCAAAGTGCTGGGACTAGAGGTATGCACTGCCATACCTAGCTTTTTATTTTGTGGGGAGAGAGGATGCTAGGGATAAAGCCAAGGGCCTTTTAGATGCTTCTGAACTCCACTTCTGAGCAACACTTCTGGCCCCTTTTCTCCTTTTTAAATTGGGCTCACTGTTTCAGAGTTTCTCCTTTTATTAATATCTTGCACTGGTAGGATACGATTGTTATAAATGATAAACCAGTCTTATACCTTATTAATGAAAGTCTGTAGTTTACATTAGGGTTCACTCTTGTATAGTTCTGTGGGTTTTGCCAAACACAAAATGTTTGTGTATCACTGTTAGGGTATCATTCAGCATAATTTTATTGATGTAAATGTGCTCTACCTAGTTACTGTTCTTCTCTTCCCCAACCTCTAGTAATCACTAATCTTTTATTTTTAATTTTAATTTTTTAAAAATCCATTTTATTCAAACATAAAAAGAAAGAAAAAAAGAAGAAAAAAATCTACAAATAGAACTTTAAAGCACATCAATCGGGATAACAATAGTTCACACATCGTACATTGTCAGTTTTCTTTTATTCTGCTTTGTTCACTAAACATTGTATCATGAACATTTCTCAGGGAATCATGCATTCTCCAGAAGCATGGTTTTGTTATAGACTTGCATAATACTTTTTGTGTACATACTTGTTTTATAAGTCTTCTAGCAGTATGTGAGGATGCCAGTGTTCCTAGATGTGCTAGCACTGGGAATTAATTTTCTTAAAATATTTACCAATTTTATTGGCAAAGTTAGTGTTTTAGGTTTATTTTGCATCTGTCAGAAAGTAATGTAATTGGATGAAAATATTTGTTCATGTCCTTTACTTTTTTGTTGCATCTTAAGTCTTGTTAATTTATGTAATTTTTTTTCTCTTGTAGATCCTTTTATCCTGCCACATCAGCAGGTTGATAAAGGAGCCATCAAATTTGTACTCAGTGGAGCAAATATCATGTGTCCTGGCTTAACTTCTCCAGGAGCCAAGCTTTATCCTGCTGCAGCAGATACCATTGTTGTATCCTTCCTCAGTTCTAACTGCTGAAAAAAATGTATTGATTATATTCTTGTCATTATTGGAAGATCCAGGAGCACCTTAGATGTACTCCATACCTTCCTGGTTACATTTGAAGAAACAGGAAGTAGCTTAAAATTTATTTATACTAAATTATGTTTTATCTTGATTGTTTCATAGGATTTAAATAAAACAAGTTACAAGATGGCCATGGTGGTGCATGCCTATAATCCCAGCCATTCTGGAGGTGGAGGAAAAAAGATGGCAAATTCAAGACCAGCCTGACCAATTTGATAAGACCTTGTCTTAAAATAAAATACAGAGGATTAAAGATGGAGCTCAGTGGTAGGGTACTTGCCTAACATGCACAAAACACTGAGTTCAATCCCTTATACTGAAAAAAAAGAAAAGAAAGAAATTATAGTTATTAAAGAGCCCAAACTGCATTGCAGACCAGTAAAAAGACCTTTTGTTATTGGACCTGGGACACCATGTGAAACACTTGATTACTAATAGAAAGGCTACAGGTGATATGGTTGGCTCAGTTTTTTTGGACATCAGTTTGCCATTTTAATTTGATTCACTCAGATACCATGGAGTAGAAACGCTCAAAAAGGAAAAGAATGTATGCAGCGGGTATAGTTTTTCTTTTCTCAAGCCACAGTTTTGTATCAGGAGTGAGAAATATTGGCAATATCCAACTTTTATTTTAAAAATTATTATTTTTTGGATACTGCTGGAGGTTAAACTCAGGGCCTTGCATATGCTAGGCAAATGCTCTATCACAGCTATATTGCTAGTCTGTTTTATGTTTTTATTTTGAGATAGGGTTTTGCTAAGTTGCCCAGGCTGATCTTGAAGTGATCCTTCTGCATTAGTCTCCTGAGTAGCTGGGATTACAGGTGTGTAGCACTGAACCTGATCTGAAAAGTTTTTTTTTTTTTTTTCCTGGCAGTAGGGATAGAACCCAGGGCATCATATACTAAGCATGCACTCTACAATTAAACTATATTCCTATACCTTAAAGTGGTTTTTTTAGGGTTTCTCTTTGTTGTCTGAAAGAGAAATCTCAGCATCCTGAATAGTATTTTTTGATTTGTTTTTGCCATTCTGGGGACCCAATCCAGAAGTACTCTATCACTAAGCTACACCTTAGGCCCCCTTTTTGTTTCTTCTTTTTTTAATCTCCCCTTTTTAAAAAATTTGAATAGGATCTTGATTAATTTTCTAGTCTGGCCTTGAATTTGGGATTTTCCTTTCTTAGTCTACCAAGTAACTGGGATTATAGGTGTGTACTACCTCATGTGGCCCTAAATCGTTTTTAAGGATCTGTTCAACTCATGTAGCTGGATAATTCTGCACTATTTCTATTTCTGCAGTACTAATTCAGATATATTATGGATTAAGTATGTTTTGTGCACTAGTCCACAGAGGAAGCCTTGCTCTCCAGTGGTCATTTGCCTCAGGTTGAGGAAAGGCGTGGGGAAATCACTATGGAGTAAGAGTACCCCTGGAGTGGGTTTAAGAGTATGTCTTATGCTCAAAAGCAGGCTATCCTCTGTTGTGGCAGTTATAGCTCAGGGGGAGAGTAAGTTGTGTGTTTACATTTTAGGAACAGCTTATGTTGATATTAATACAAGTCACATAATAGGTGTTCATATATTTCTGAAAAATGGATGGATAAATTGAAAGCCAGTAGAGAAAAGTATTCTGTGAGGACAGTCTACTTTTTTAGCTTTATGGTTTCTTTAAGTGCTGATTGATGTTTTGTTTTGGGCTTTCCCGTAAACAGAACTTTTCCTAGTACCTAGACTTTTTTTTTTAGTTGAGTTTTCCTATGTTGCCCAGCCAGTCTTTAACTCCTGTGCTCAAGCCGTGCTCTTGCCTCAGCCTTCTGAGTAGCTTGGATCATAGAAGGTATATGTTACCACACCTGGAAACTTCTAAAAAATAATGCATATTTTGATCTGGGCTTAGTGTTGCACACCTGAAATCACCACATTCAGAAGACAGAGTCAGTAGGATCATGAGTTCAGGCCCATCCTGGGCTACATAGTCACTTCAAAGACAACCTGGACTACATAGTGAAATCCTCAAAAAATGGATTTTTAATATTTTGAAATAATTTTATAGTTTTCAGGAAATTGCAAAAAATAGCATAGAGAGTTCTTGTGTACCCTTGATCCTTTAAAAATACATATTGCAGTGTTCAGCATCCCAGAAGCTCCAAAGGACAACCAAGTCTATTTGGGGTTGAAACTTACATAGGGCATTCAAAATAGAATGGGAATATAATTATGATTTTAATCTATCCTTTACATAAAGATACCAGTCAGTGATCAAAACAGAAAGAATTGATACTTATTTCACCTTTCAGTGTTTATGTTCAAGAAATTGTGTCTTTTTCTATGATGTATTCTGTTTTTTGTTGGTATGAGGTTGTAGTATTAACATTGAAACTTGAAACCAAAATGATTATTAGATTTCATTCATGTAACATTTATTGTGTAGAGTGTACCCACAGACTCTCTGAGCTCCTCACTCTCAAAAAGTCAAGGTCTAGGGATGACACAGATGGGTTCAAAGTGACCAACAGGTTACATGTTCATTAGAAACCCTCTTCCCAAGACATTTTGTGAGATACGTATTTTTCTTAGCTGTGTATTTTCAGGCAATCATGGCAGAAGGAAAACAGCATGCTCTATGTGTTGGAGTCATGAAGATGTCTGCAGAAGATATGTAAGTCTCACTTTAGGTCCTCTTAGCTTTTACGAGATGAGTAAACAAGCCAGGAAGCATCAGAATTATACTGAAATTTACTGTCAATTCATACCATATCTTATAACTATCTAAGCAAACAGCCTCATTTCTGATTTTTTCTGTTAGGAAGCCATTGAAACCTAGTTTGCCTTCAGGATTGCATTCTTTCTTAAGAACTCTGAAAAGAACTCATTGCCAGGACAGCTGTTTTGTATGTATGTATGTGATACTTTAGCAATTTTTATGTAGTGTTATTTAAATAGAGGGAGAAAACATTTTGCTGCTAGCTTTTAAAGAAGCACTAGTTTTTATTTTAGAACTACACAGAAAGTCTTACTTTCTGATCTAGTGTTATAAGACATGGGGAATATTAGAGAACTACTAAGTATATATTACCAAAATATCAGCAAAATATTTAAAACTTTGGAAACCATTCGACGACCAAAATGACCTCTACAATATTTTTTCAGAGATAATGCAATAGTTTGATATTTGGCTGATCTGGTAATGTCATTCCTCTGCATATGTAAACTCAGTAATTACTGTTAAAATCACTTTAAAACATGAACTAGCCAGGTATGGTGGCACGTACCTGTAATCTCAGCACTTGGGAGAATAGAAGGATCACTCTAAAGTTGGAGGCCAGCCTGGGCTACATAAGGCCAGCCTAAATTACATCATAGTGAGACCCTCCCATCTTAGACAAACCATGAACTAAAACAGCAATTACCTTAATATAGACAATAATAGAAGTGATAGCAATAAATTTTCTACAAGTGGCCCAATAATTATAAAATAAACATGTACTTTGAATTATGTTTACCATGTTTAAACCTATAAAAATACATTTATATGTTCTTTTCCCTTTTCACAGTGAGAAAGTCAACAAAGGAATTGGCATTGAAAATATCCATTATTTAAATGATGGGCTGTGGCACATGAAGACATATAAATGAGCCTCAAAAGGAATGCACTTGGGCTAAATATGGATATTGTGCTATATCTGTGTTTGTATTTGTGACAGCATGAAGATAATGCCTCTGTGGTTATGCTGAATAAATTCTACAGATGCTAGAATCCTGTTTTGAATATTATTATTATTATTTGGTACTAGGAATTGGACTTAGGATCCTGTGCTTGCCAGGCAGGCGCTTTGCCACTGAGCTATATCCCTGGCCCAAAAATTATTTTAATTTGACTTAAACTCAAGTTAAAATTGGGTAGCAAACTTGGACATTAAAAGGTATCTGGTAAGTAACTAAGCAGCAGCATAATGTCCTTTCTTAGGCTAATTAGATAAGCTAAGTTGGTATTAGACTTGTCCATTTATGGTGGAACCCCAGACAATTTGTCTAATTAATAAAGCTGGAAGCTAGCCTGAGAATTGTATCCCATTATCCTAGGGCACCCAACAGTGCCCTCTTTTGTACCTGTGGGATGTGAATTTGTGTGTGTGTGTGTGTGTTTAAACTTCATTATGGAAAGCTCCAAACATATCCAAAAGTGTAGGGAATAGTATACCAGACTTTTTTCTTTTTTTGGTACTGGGAATTGAACTCAGGACTTTGTACTTGCTAGGCAGGCACTGTGCCACTGAGCTGTATCCCTGGCCCTGAACTTTTCTTTGTAATCATCTAGCTTCAATTTATGGCTGTCTTTCATCTATACTTCAATTAACTGTTTCCCATTCCCCAGGTACTTTGAAGCAAATCCCAGACATTTTGTCATTTCATTGTAACTACCTTAATATATATCTTTTAAAAGGCAAGAGATCTTAAAAAAGAAAAACAAAAAAAACTGTATATGGCCACAATAGTGTGATCATACCTGGAAAGTTTAACCTGGTTTGCTTGAATTAGGCACTAGACAAGATCTGTGTATGATTCTGGTTGCTATTTGTCTTTTGAAATTTATAAATTCTCTGTTTATCCTTTAAATTAGATCTCATTTTTTGTTTGATTTTTGGTGCAGTGGATGGAACCCAAGACTTTGTACATGCCAGGACAGTGCTCTACTACTAAACTATATCTCCAGCTCTATTCTTTATTTCTTGGTGGGTGAGGTTTGAAACAGGATCTCACTATGTCATTCAGACTGATATTGAATTCACTATGTAGTCCAGGCTGGCCTCAAACTCAGGACATCCCTCCTGCCTCAGCCTCCTGGGTGCTGGAATTACATGCATATGCCACCACATCCAGCTCCAGCCCTATCCTTAAATTATTTAAAGGAATCTAGTTTTGTCTTGTAAAATTTCTGTATATATTCTGAATTTTGTTGCTGCTCACTGTGAAGTACTTTAGTTTTTAATGCCCCTATATACCCTGTAAACAGGCTTGATCAGATTAAGTTTCAAAGTTTTAAAATTTTTATTTATTTATTTATTTTTAGTTTCAAAGTATCTCCTGTTAAGCAAAATTATAGTAAAAGATGCCCAGAACTTCAGGATTTGGGTTTCCATCATATTCTCCAAAGAATGTTTCTCCTTTTGTGAAGGCCATGAACATACTTTACTAAGAAAGGTAATCTGGGGCTTGAGATTTAGCTCAGCGGCATAAGCGCCTGCCTTGCAAGTATGCGGTTGTGAGTTCGATCCCTGGTACCGATAAAAAAGGAAAAGAAAAAAAAAAAACCAAAAACCAAAAAACAAACCGAAACAAAAAAAAGTAATCTGGGGAAGTTAAAAGATAAATTGTGAACTTACTTAGTGATAAAGGCTTTTTTCCTAATAATCTTGCTATTATTTTAGTATCAGCCATCTTCATTTGATTGTTTACCAATACATGAACTGTGATTTTATTTTTCAGATGGATGCAGACATTTACAAGACTGTGGTGACCTGTATTACAGTTAGAAGTTGGTGAGAAAGGTGAGGGTGGATAGTAAAGAGAGATTGTTTGGCTGTCTGCATTCCAGCTGGGCCTCCCAAGATATAATGTAGGTGAATATAGATGTAGGGCCTGCCCCCAGATTAAGAAATGGCTTCTCATTGACAAACCACATAATACTTGAAGGTTACCTAGTTAGAACACAAGTTTGTTAATTTATAGCAATGAACCCAATCAATTAGTAAACAGAAATTTTCTTGGATAAAAGGAAAGGTAGATAACTGGAGTATAATATTTCATCTGGGCTGGCATAAGACTTGGAGTTTATCCTGGTTTATCATTAATTGGAATGCTTATCTGCCAAAGTCTTGTTTCTTATCCTATAGAGATGCCCTGATATTTTACTTTCTATTTCTTTTAAGTTCTATGTATAATCTTTTTCTTTGGTTTTGACAGTTATATTCTACAATTTATGATACTGCTTTATTACTCATGCTGGGTACATAAAAATGTAATAGTTTATCATCAATGCATTTGGAAATCATGTGTCAGGAGATAAACAGATATTCTTATTTTGTTCCAGCTTATTGGTTTCAGATTCCTATGTCTCCCCATTTGAGTTAGAAGACACCTCAGCTGAGTCTTATATCTCCTTATATTCTTTAAATGAATATGTGTCATGTCAAAAACAAGCTTTAGACATTTATTTTTGTGTTAGTAGGAGCTGAATTGAGTCTTTGCACTGAGTTACATCTCCAGCCCTGTTGTCACTGTTACTGTTTTATATTGAGATAGGTCTTGTTAAATTTATAAATTACTCAGGTCCCACTCAAATTTGTGCTCTTTCTGTCTCAGCCTCTGAGAGTGATTACATGTGTGTACTACAGTGCCTGCCTATTTATTCGTTATTTTTATTATTATTACCATTACTATGCAGTACTGGAGATTGAACCCAGGGTATTTACATGAGCTACATGTTTCCTGTGTTTTTAATCTTTGAGACAGGGTCTTGCTAAATTGCCCAGGCCGGGCTTAAGTTTATGATCCTGGCTGGAGATGTAGCTTAGGGGCACAGTGCCTGCCTGCCTGGAAAGCGTGAGGTTGTGAGTTCAATTCCTGGTATCAAAACAAAATAAAATTTATGATCCTCCTGCCTTAGCCTCTCAATGCTGGGATTACAGGTATGTTCCACCATGTCTGGCTTGTACCTTTATTTTTGATGGTAAGATAATGTTAAGTGACTAAGATTGCATATGAAGCGATGACTGAAAAGGCATATATAAACACAGATTACAGAAGTTAAAACTTTTCATTACCTGGTTTCTGAAATAAGTTATTCTTGTATCTAATCCCTCTTACAAAAATAGAGAACACTTTTTGAATATTCACTATCAGCATCTGTGCTTGTTTTTGTACTGGGCTGAAGTAAACTGACTATGTTGCCTTGGTGATGTGGACTAAATATGAATGTTTCTCACTTCCCCTGGGTCTATGGCCTCAGCTCATCAATTTTAATCAGGGGTTTCACTACATATGCAAGCCTTTTCAGTTTCTAAACATTAGGTCATGCGTGGAAGCCAATTCCAAAGCTTAAACTAGCAGATACATCAGCCCCTTCTCAGTACTAAGCTAGAAGGAAAATTTACACACATGCTTGAGAGAAGGCATACAGAGAAAATCTGTTTTTTTTTTCAGGGAGTGTGTTCATTAAATTTCAAAATTAATTTTGTGTTAAATCAACCTTCAGGCTAGCCATTCTTCTATACTGACTCACTTTTACTCAGCCAAGATCAGTTCAACTCGGTGAGCATTTACTATCTACTAGTGATGTGATATAAAGATGACTAATACGTAAGTACGCCTCTTAAGGAGCTTCTTGGCTAGTGAGTAAAGAAACGTTACATTTTAAAATATTTGGGTAATGGTGACAGCCAATATTAATTTATAAAGTCGCTAGGAATTTACAAGTGCTTTTCTAATTTCAAATCATACATGTGTCAAATATAAAAATATCCTTTAGATTCTATCCAGTATGAGGTTTAAAATATCCAGATTTCTTAGCGTTTCTTCAATATTCCATCTCAGATGGTTGTCCCATTTCCAGTGGCATAAGGGCTTGACCAGTCCTCATTCAGTGGACTGTTAATGTGGTTTGGGTTGTATTCTGTTGGCAGCTACATTTTTCTTTTTTTTTTCTCTTTTTACTTGTCCTTGGACCCCAGACAAAAGCAGTTGGATTTATCCCAGGAGTAGTCATGAACATTTCCAATTTGAGGGATTTGATATTCCCTAAACAGAAGGTTACATGGCATTTGCCAAATAATGATTATATTCATTAGATATCACAAACTTGGAAAAAGAAATAATGATTATATTCAGCCAAGTTTTCCCTCTATACAAATCAGCAACTACACATGCAGCATCTCTCAGTATAGTACTTCACAAGTCATAAGAATGGCATTTTACTAAATTTGCTGAGGCATTTCATTATATTTCACCTTTTGTTCATGAGAATATTAATGCATCAATGATCTATTAATAGAAGTAAGAAATGAATATATGCTCAAATGTAAATACTTTATATAGGTTTTTTAATTTTGAGACTGTATCTCTCAAGGTTCTTCAAGAAACACAAAATGATTCCAATTTCTTTTTTATTTAATTTTTTAATGATTCCAGTTTCTTTTCTTTTTTTTTTTATTGGTACCAGAGATCAAACTCACAACCGCCTGCTTGCAAGGCAGGTGCTTATGCCACTGAGCTAAATTCCCAGCCCATGATTCCAGTTTCTAAAGGAGTGTCCACTAAGATTTGTAATGGGGAGACTGGGGATTTAGCTCGGTGGCATAAGTACCTGCCTTGCAAGCAGGCAGTCGTGAGTTCGGTCTCTGGTACCGATAAAAAAAAAAAAAAAAAAAAGATTTGTAATGAAAGAACAACAGTGAAAATGTATATATTCTTTGTCAGTGCAACTATCATTTCTGAGGTTTGAAGCAATCAGAAATTTACTCAAATTAATAACGTATAAGATTTAGGCAATTAAAATATCTTGGATTTCCTGTAGAACACTTAGGTTTAACGTAATTTATCCTATTAAGGCAGTAAAAATTAAACTAAATATAACTGTATATATTCTGGAGACTGATGTATGTAAATGTATTATACTTTCTTTTTTTTGATTTTTTTTAAAATTTTATTTAAGGAGAAAAAAGCAGAGAAAGGGTACAAGTTATACAGATTTACTGTATA